TGGATTATATGTAATCTATGTGGAGAACAGGACTGTGTCTCCTCCCCCGTTCCCCATGGCAGCAGGCATGGGAGAGGTGATGGATTTCGGCACCCCAGAGCGGCTTTCGGAGGTGCTGGGCTGGAGGAGCGCTTTGGGCAAGCTCTGTGGCCACTCGCTAGTGCGTGGGGTTTAATAAATAGCAAGTTGTAGATACTGCTTTTCTGAGGTATCTTTCAACTGTGCTTAAATAGGAAGAGGTTTTCTAGGACAGACAGGTGCCTTTTGAATGAGGTTGAGCAATGTTTTGCTAGCTTCACAATGGTGATGGGGAATAGGTCAGAACTAAAATGTCTTTCCCTGTCAGTGCTAGAAGGTTACGGTATTTGCCTAATGTAACATAGCCTCTTTCTTTTTCTTTTTTTTTTTTTTTTCCCCCCCACATGGGTAGTGTCTTCTCCCTGCCTTTTTCTGCAGGCACACGTAGCTAATTGCCATCCGAACCGACAGGAATTCCGAGTCCCTTGAACACTCCTGACTCCCACCTACTGGCCTTGCAGACTTCAAAAACAGCCCTTGTTCATATAAACCTGTCTCCTTTCATATCCATTTGTAGAAGCTAAAGTGTCACTGAACATTTCTGTTCACTGTTGGTGCTTTTACCTTACAAGTGCTTCAGGATTTTGGTTTCTGTATAATTTATTTTACTCGTGAAGTAGTCATGCTCTGTGCAAATGGACTAGATTTGAAATTTGAGGTTTAGGGCTATAGGGAAATGCATCATCTTACCCTATCAAGCAAGTAATTTGAAAATTTGAGCTTCAAAAACACTAAACTTACGTTCTTTGATATGTGAGTCAATGGAGATTGTTTTTATGCTGTTTGATCGAGCTCAGGATGCCTGTGCTGTACAGCTGTGGTTAGGGAAAGCCTTTTTATCTTTTTGGAAGCCTGAGATCAGTTGGTTTCAGTGAGGTAGGAACTTTTAGGATGCAGTGATCTTAGCACTAATCTTGTAAGTGCATGCCCTCTACTCTAGAAATCAGTTACTGAAAAGTAGATTTATTTTTAGAACTTAATGATTTTACTTTTCCTTGGGCTTCTGCTTAAGTAGAGCTGATTTTATTTCTTATCTATGCAAAACACCTTGCATGCCTGTCCCCAAATATTTGTTGTATTATTGCATTGCATTATTGCAGGGACATAAATTATTTGATATATGTCATACTCTGATACCTTCCCATAAAAGAAACTTGTAGAGGGCCTATCCAAATGCTGATAACCTAGGACTCTGTTCTGCACAGCGTATTTTTGATAAGTGTTTTAAAGAATCGATGAGTTCAATGACTTAGAATAGGATTTGTTTATGTAACCCCAGTTATGTTGTTGCTGCAAAAAAAGAAAGAGAAGGGGAATTAGTATTGCATGTTGTAACTTAATGCTAAATAAACCCTAATGTCTAAGACCTGGTTATCTTATGATGTAAAGTTATGTTAAAATAAATGATTCAGATACAAAGCAATAGGGCACTTGCCCAGCTTTCAGTTTGTATGAAAATAATTGTCTACCCACCACTGTTTCTTTGTCTGGATCAGGTAGTTTTGGCTGGGTGGATAAAAACACAACAACTCGAAATAAAAAACTGCTTCTGAGTAGGTAAAAACTCCACCAGCACTAATGGGTGGTAGTTTGCGTTCCGCGACTCCGGAGTCGAGGTAATTGCTTCTTGGTGGTTGACACACGGGTCCTTGAGGGCGGTTTATGGCATCCTTGCTGTAAACCTGTCAGGTTCCATTATCCTAACACCCCTTCAGGGGGCTAACCAAAGACTGGAGGAGAAAGCCTAGCTCCCAGGCACGGGGAGTGCAGCGAGTT